AACTGTAGAACTCAGTCACGACAAGCGGTTCAGAAATTAGGTTGTTGTTTTATGTTCATCGCAATCAGGCTGGACCTTAATATGGTGCGATGGTTTGTGTGTCTCAGTGATCCATTGATCTATGCTGGTGTTGCTTTTTTACACCTGCAGAGCCACTCATACAAGATTGGTCATTGGGTAGAGGCCAGACAAACTCAGTATCCTGGTCCTCCAGGTTGAGGCTTAAAATGAGGATGGCTCATTATATTTAAAACGGTCACCTTGTAGCCCAACGCCAAACCCGCTGCCTTGCGGTCAGGTTTTTGAACCAAAGGCTTTGGTGGAGAACCCTAATGGTTCTCCTGTCTAGGCCTGAGCAACCTGACAGTATCCTGCCCACGCAATCCCATGAATCTCTCTTCAAACAAATTACTGATGCTCTGGCCACCGCAGAGGATAATCAACGGTGCCCTATCTGCTGCATCGAGCAGAGTGGATAGGGGTTTGGATGCTACTGCTCAAGCCTTCCCGTCTTCTTGCTCCCCCTCTTACACTTTTTCACGATCGTCCCGTTCCAGCTTCAATTTATAACCCCTGTTTTCAAACCCCAAATTCTTGGCCCTCCCCCACCTTACTTCAATAGTCGCTTGCCTTTTAGTTTCAACTCACATGTGAACGCGGAGCGTCATTCCTACCCTCTTAACAGGCCCATGTCCAAGCAAGCGGTCAGGCCCAGTTCAACGTCTTCCATTTGGGGCCCTCGATCATCGTTCAGAGCGGCATGGTTCGATGTACGCACATTGATTCAGGTCGATCAACAGGCAGCACTTGCTCGAACATTGGAGACCCTCTCGATCGATATTTGCTGCTTATCGAAGATCCGCCTGCAAGACTCGAGCTCTGTGCTCACTCTGCGATCCCCCTCAGGTGATACCAGCAGCACTTTCTCTTTGCGCCTATCCGGAGAGGATGTAGCTTCGAGTACCGGCCAATCCCTGAATCCCAGGGCTGAAACTACGCTGGTTGACTGGATGCAAACTAGTAGCCGGTTGTGCGCGGTCCGATAGGCTGGCTCGTTCAAAGCTTCGAAATCGAGTAGGACTAACAGGTGTCTATGCGTCAGCGCTGCATATGCACCTACAAACTCCAGAAAGTATTCGGTAAAAGACGACTTCTGTCGCCAACTGAACGAACTTGCTAGCCACAGAAGGAGCTCGGACACTGTAGTGCTGGCTGGGGATCTGAACGCTCAAGTTGGAAAATTATTCACGGATGAGCTGCATGTAGGCGGCCAACATGCTGTAGGCTCCCATAATAATAACGGTGAGCGGTTACCTAATTTGCGTGAGTATGTTCACTTATTTCCTGCGAGCACTAATTTCCGACATAGTACCCGCTGGAGGTTGACATGGCGCCCACCAGCCTCGAACCAGCTATGGACGCAAATCGATCACATTGCGATAAGTTGCCGATGGAGAGGCTGCGTCCAGAACTGTCAATCGATTTGGTGCACAAGTGTGGACACCGACCATGCACTTGTATGTGCTGACCTGCGGATGCGGTTTGGCGGACGCCCACGACGACGTTGTGAACGCATTGACACTAGCCAACTGGCGAAGCCAGCTGTTCTGAATGCCTATATAGGTACGCTGTCATGCGAGTTGCGTAGGCGCTCACTGGATGCAGTTGACGCTCACTGGTCTCATATTCACCAGTCCTTACTGGCAGCAGGCAACTCCTCGTGTGGTAAGTCTATTCGCCAACATGGATATTGGGTCTCTTCGTGGTCTCTGGAACTTATCGATGCACGCCGGCATATTCCGGCTGGAAGCGTACACAATGAAACTCGCAAAGAGCTCCGGACAAAACTCCGTGCTAGCCTGAAGACAGACCGCGAATCTTTATGGTCTCATCCTGCATGGGAGATGGAAATGGCCGCTGCCCTTGGTAACCATCGTAACTTATCCCGGCTGATACGCGAAACGGGCAGCAGGAGACTTGGTGTTAGTGAGACTATACGTGACAAGAGTGGACAGCCTATCCACAATTTGTCAACACGCTTGGAGCGCCGGGATAAGCACTCTGAAAGGCAATTTAATCGGTAGGAAATGTTCGATTTCTCGCGGACCACTGATCTTCCCGCTCCCTTGGCTGTCCCTTTGGATCTACTCTCTCGCTCAGAAGTGGAACGTGAGATCGCAATGTTGAGGTTAAATAAAGCCGCGGGACCAGATGATCTACCTCCAGCCCTCTTGAAACTCGGGGGACCTGCTCTTGTGGATGATTTATACGAGTTACTAGTGAAGCTGTGGGAGCAGGGCACTGTCCCAACCGACTGGAGCCGCTCCGACATAGTCCCAATTTTCATGGGAAGCTCACGATCGGAATGCGGTAGTCACATAGAAATCAGTCTAATCTCTATAGCCTCCAAATTGCTTGCCTCTGTCATCCTTCACAAACTGACTGACACTCATAAAAGCCAGATTCATGAGGAACAAGCCGGGTTTCGTCGAGGTCGTGACTGCATTGATCACATCTTCACTTTGCGTCAGCTGTCGGAGCACCGTCACATATATTGAAGACCCATCCGTTGTCACGTTCCTCGATATCAAATTTGCATTCGATTCGGTGGATAGGTGTGCAATTTGGGACTGTCTACTCAGGAACGGTCTACCTGAGAAATATGTAAATATTATCCGATCATTATACCTGCATAGCTCAGGCAGAGTGAGGGCAAATCTGTCGTCGCCCTTTAATAACTCAACGGTGTGAGACAAGGATGCCCGCTGTCACCTTTCCTCTTCAACTTCGCTATTGACGAAGTCATGGGAATCGGGTTCACAGGACAGGACTTAGAAGGTGTGGATCTACTCCCAGGAGAACGACTTCTTGACTTGGAATATGCTGAAGATATTGCCCACATCTTTGACAGCTCCTAGACGTGCCAATCGGCACTGGACAGATTAGCACTGCCCGTCAGCCGCTTCGGGCTTTGTTTTGCACCATCGAAATGCAAAGCGTTCCTCCAACATTAGCCTGGTCCGCCTCCTACGCTGACCCTTGGTGGGGATCAGCAAGAATTCGTTCAAAAATTCAACTATCTGGGAAGTTGTATCAGTGGCTGTTGAATTGAAGATGAGATCAGGAACCGTATAGTAAAAGCTCGAGGCGCCTTTGCTAACCTACGCCACTTATTGTAGGAAGGCGGAAGGCAGCGTTTACCCAAAGGACGGTGAGACCATTAAAACGGAGGCGGACAAAAAGAGAGACCGATGCAATAGGGGCAATTCGCTGGAGAAACCCAGGCTCAATAGAACGGGGCGGATACGGGACAGGAGCGGCATCCGTGGGTGAGCCCGAGGCAGGCAAAACAGGTGGGGAATTTGTTGAAGGCGCAATAAATCGGACAAAACCGCCGGTATCACATCTTCAAGAGACAACACCGGGGAGAGTGATACACCCACGGTCAAGCAAAGCGCACGCTATCGAACGACTCCGGGCTTGTCAGAATCGGAGGCGTGGAAGCGAAGGTACACGGGCGAAACGGACATAGAAGATGCGTTCCCGTTCCCCAGAAGGAGCATAGAAGTGTCACGAGCGGAGGCCAGGAGGGATGGTGCAACGTGGGAAAGAAACCTGACCTATTAATGTGTGCCCGTGTGAGTGGTGAGGTAGTGTGTGTGTTCGCGCCAATAAAGGTCTTGCTTCATTGCCGCGTTGTCTCGTCGCTACATTATGGCGCCGGCGCGACATCCCTCTCGCCCTGAAGGGTAGATTGTACAATGCAGCGGTACGTTCGACCCTACTGTACGATTGTGAAACCTGGCTCCTTAAAGCAGCGGTGCCTTCGCAATTCAGCTCACATCTGATGGGAACACCGCGTGAGCAACGAGCGTGTTCGACGCCTTGTTTACCGTACATGAAAAAGAAATGAACCGCTCAGCTCAGTTATTCCACGCACCAGGCTCCGATGGCTCGGCCAGGTGTTACGCACGCCAGCACAACGACTCCCGCGACGTGCGTTGTTTGCACGCCGGATGTGTGGATGGAAGAAGAGGAGGGGTGGCCAAGCGATTACTTGGTCGAGAGGAATGAAGGCCCTCACTTCGAAGCTGGCCTCAGTTGGAGCGTCTCGGCTCCCTGGCTGGGGTCCGAAAGACGATGAACAGGTTTGGCTGGATACACTTGTTGATATGGCTAGGAGCCGACCCCAATGACGTTCGTGCTGTGAGTTTCTTTTTCCCACTCCATCCTTCTTAGCCTCTCCCTCCAACAACCATCTCATCATTTAGCATTATATAATTTCACATAGTAAATTACTTTTCTTTCTGCTGCGTAGTAGTAGCCGGCAGATAGCTTACCGGAACGATGCCCATCCGTTACCGGTAGCTCAGCTGGCTTGCACCTGTAACATTGTATTCTCATATTTTCTTTTAGGTATTGCGACACAGTAGCTGTGGTGTTTCCCACCTCTAGCTAACGTGTATAATGAATGATGATGATGATTGCTTTATGTGCTGCTAAACACTGTTCAATTAATCTATGTGTAGCAGTGTGGAGATTTATCCGATTTACCTGGGCAAACTTCAAACTTCAATTGATCAGACCACATAGTTGGACTGCACCTCGAAACACCGAGGAATATAACATTTATCATTTATCATTTATCATTTATCATTATTATTTCATTGTACAATTGGCATGTGGTGAGGATTGCTGAACTGCATGTTGAGTTAGGTTGTTTGCGTCGGGCACCACTTTGCTCGGTGCTCGGTTTGGTTACAATGCATGACTGTTCTGTGTGCTGCAATCTTTTCATTCCTCCTAACTAGCTGCGTCAACGATGTCGTTTTTCGCTCTCTTAAATGGAAACCCTGTGCAAACTTAAAGCTTCCTTGCGGGCGATTTTTAATTGGCAACCACTACGTGGGCGCTAAAAATTCAGCTGCTTTAGGTGGAATTCTGAAGTGCTTGGTAATTGATTCGTGTGCTTTGTTTACAAATAAGCTAAATCAACTTACCTTCAATGGAGGTAAGTTCATTGTGATTCAGGTCTAATTTCCGGAGGAACTTGAGTGCGGACAAATCTGGCAAGCGTTCCAAATGATTGTGTGCCAGGCCAACCGTTTCCAGGCAGGAACAATGCGGTATGCCATTGATTTCCGTCAATTCGTTGTAACTCAGGTTCACATGGACAAGATTTGGTAAATACTCCAAGAAGCTAGAACTGCTCGCGTTTATTCTAGGTGCGTTCAGAGTAGTCAGGTTAGAAAAGGGACAAAATTCACTCGCGTCCACTGTAGACAGTTCTGTAGTGGTAAGTTGTCCTAAAATGACAGCGGTTCCGTTGGAGGTGGTTTGCATCCCAGAAAGGTATTGGGAGATTTTAGAGACCACGGCTTCATTTTCACTCATGAGTATACAGTCAGCTTCGTCGTGACAGACACTGAACTCGAGGGGACTCAATTGGCTGACTGGTTCCACACTGACAGCCATTGCTCTTGATGGTTATGGGAATTCCGTTAAGGTTATCAACCTAAACAAGAGAGTTATGGTGTGCGGTGATACGGACAACGATGCTTAAGGAACATTCGCTTAGCACAAATTTATGGTTACGGGATCATTTGGTGAAGATGGATAAAACTCAGACAGGTACCTGTGATGACATTGTAGTAGAGTTTATGTCATAGCACGGAAAGACCGAAACGTAGAATGAGGGTCCAAGAATATCTGCTTGGTTACTTAAGATAGATAAAAAGCACAGCAGCTTTTGAGGGTTTTGGCCTATTGTCCAATTAGCCAATGGTCCCGGCTTAAACACCTTGCTCTGTTTCATGTGCTGTTTAACATCCTCTGTCGTTCCTCTGGATGCGGTACACGGATTAGCCAATCAATCCAAAACGCTTCACCTGCGCTGTTGTGCTAAATGTTTACCTATTAGATTGTCCCGAAAACAATTGGAATTTTTTGATGCCATTCCAGAATTGTCTGGAAGTTCCTGTAAGATGCTTTTATTTGGGTATAGAAGTGGACACACTAGAACACGAATCTTATATTGTTCATTCATCTTACATCATGGCAATCGATGCGGTATCAGCAAATGATCAACATGCTGTTTGCGGATGCTTATTGGACGAGTTCGTACAAGGGCGCAAATCGACCGAGGCTTGTCAAAACATGCGTGGCGTACAAGGCACGTATGCTCTAAGTTAAGGTATGGTAAAATTCTGGTTTCCTCGATTCAAATTAGGAACCACAAATTAGAAAAATAAATAAATAGTCAAACCTCGGGGGTCAATAGCGCAAGCCAGTGGCATTTGTCAGCAGCACCCAGCACACCGGGTATGAAGATTCGGAACATATTAGCCTTCCTAAAACCACCGTTCATCGCCATTTGCGCCAATTCGGAGTGGTCTCAAAGCTCGGACAACTTGTACCACACTAATTGATTGATGAGCAGCTGTTGAACCGTTGTGCCATCGCACTTTCATTGCTCATCCGAGGATGCAATCATCGATGGCTGAACGATGTCGTTACTGGAAACGAAATGCGGCTGTTCCATGTCAACTACAGGAGGAATCCTCAGTGGATCACAGCAGACAAAACGCCAGAAGTTCCGAAAGGCGAACTGCATGGCAACTAATTGATGCTGTCGGTCTAGTGGGATCGCCGCAGCGTCACATATTGGGAACTACAAGCTGACACTTCCATGGTTACTGCCGATGTCTACTGCCAACAATGGCAAAAGATAGTCGACGAACATAGCAAAAAGCGCCCAAGAGAGGCTCGAATACTCCTGTATGATACTGCGCATTTTTATGTGTAAAAGAAAACGCGTCTCAAGCTTCAGCAACTCGGTATCGAAACTCTTATGCATCCCGGATATAGCTCGCACCTTGCTCTTACTAACTGTCATCTTTTCCGCTCGCTGCGGAATCACATCAAGGACGAGACATTCGATGACCGAAACCATTTTGAAACGTAGCTTGCCCAATATTTTGACAGGCAACCCAGCTGGTTCTAAGAGAGGCACCGACAGCTTGCCTGAGTGTTGGCAGTACATCATCGGTAACAATGGATGTTACGTTGATTAAATATTGTTGGTTGTTTATAATAAGTAAGGATGGCAAAAGTGTGCTTAAACGGTCAACTGATTTCGGGACAACCTAATAGTTACTCCCTAGTAACTGCTTATCCAGCCGAATTTATTGGATTGACCGATGCCGTACATGTTGGTTAATGTGCACTTTATAACTAACTTTTGAGTAATACAAGCCCATACTTATGACAGTGTTTCTTCTACCTAGCCACCGAAATTGGCAACATGCTCGTTTCCTTACTGTACCTCCTTGTCGAAAACTCGTTGTGCAAAGACACGACCCCATACAGCCGATCACTACCACCTTTAAACGCACAACCAAGTCATTTAAACATTACGCAACTAAAGACCGTTGACAGTGGATTAATGATAGTTGGTGAGTAGTAGGGGGTTTATTGTGCTTATGACAAGGTTCGCTGCTGATAAACTCATCCAGACAACGCTTTTGTTGATGTGTAGTAAATGTCAAAATGTCAAATGACAAAATTACAAAGGAGGACAGTTCCCGCGGGACAGTTTGTGTGAATTACTTAGGTCTCAAAAAGGAGTGCGTAATGCGCATTTGTAGACTCACCCCAATGTAAACGCTAACACATAGGTGTATCAGTCTACCCCGATTTCTTGGGGTTGGTGAGCACAATGTTTGTCTGCATCTTGTCGTCACTCAATGAATAGAAATCAGATCAAGTAATGTAAAGGGTGTAAAGCATAGCCGAGTCCTATTTTAGAAATGGGTAACGTTGGCGCGGAAATGACAAAAGTCGTAGCAGAGTTCTACAGTTGACAAATTCGAAGACAGGAATACTTCAGTGGACATTCCAGCCAACTGTATTGGGTGGCCAGTTTCAACTTGTGACCTGCAATTCTGTGTTGCGGTTGTGTCAACAGTTGGCTGCAAGCATGACCTGGTTGTTCAAGATCTGATACATCAGGATGAAAGCGTCCCTTAGACGGTAATAACTCGCTGTATACTCCTAGAGCTTCCAGTGGCAGAGAGTATAACCGGTAGAACAAGCCCTTCACATTTTCGTTGCTCTTCGATGTGGGATCTGCAGCGCAATCAGATCGCCTTTTATCCACTGTTGCCAGACCTGAATCGCGTACTCAATATGGGGCCTCACATACGCATTGAGCATTTAAGGGGAAATAAAACTTCGAACCGATCGAATACCCTCCGTGAGAGAGTAACATGTTGGTTCGCGTTGCTGGACGGCTTTAAGGACTGCGCCGAAAAGCGGAGGTCGTCTTACGTCACCATCCCTAGGTCACCTTCCCGTGAGGCGGTCTACAAAATTTGGTTTCCAAGCCTATATGTGTTCGTAAGCTTGGGGCATACGTGTACAGTTTTACATGTGCCCGTCTTGAATGGAATTAGATTTGTCTCTGATCTTTAAAATGCGCGGTCTAAGTCGCGTCACATCAGATCGTGATCCTCCTGACTACCGATTGTCCATCATATATTGATGCCATCGGATAAAACTAGGAATTCGGCTCAATGACGTGCACAAGGTCGTTGAGGATGACCAAAAGTAAACGCAGCCCCAACACTGATCCCTGGGAAACACCGCAGTGCACAACAGTAGGATCAGAAAGTGAGCCCGGTACACGAACCTGAAGGCGCCGCCGAAGAAGAAAGTTTTCTTTCCATTCAAGTATAGGGTTCCAAATTCCGTATATTGGTAGCTTGTGGAGAATGACTCGGTGACCTAATCTATCGTACGCTTTGGAAAAGTCAAAACAGATGCCAGCAGTTCCGGTCCCACTATCCACTGTTTCCGTCCAACTGTCACGCGCGATCAGCAGGTTGTTAGTACATGACCGTTGCTGGTGGAAGTGGCATTAGGTTCTGATGTTAGATGTTATGATGGTAGATCTTTCTACGTAGTCTATTAATGCCTCAGTCATGATAGACTCCAAAAAAATTTTGAGAGCACTACGAGAGTCACTGGGTGACACGTAGCGAGTTTTGAATGGTTACCACCCTAGAAATCCGTGAGAATATTTATAGCTCGGGATGCGGATGAGGGTATGCGCGTGTTCTCCGAGCTGGCTACTTTGGCTGCAAACGTTTCATCGTCAGGCTAGACGACATCATCAGTGCGATTTATGCGAGCTACTTACAGATCCACCACCCTAAAAATTGGGTGATGACACCCTACTTCCATACATTAGGTACCTGCTATTTATCCAGGCATCATTGAAAGAATCTGGTTAGTGGCTCAACTGTCCTCGTTGCTGCCACCTGCAGTAATTTCGGGGGAATGTTGCCAACACCGGGGAACTATGAATGCGCAACGATAGCAGCTTCCTCAAGACAATCGCTGAACTAGAAGTGACGTTGGTAAATACTGGCGTCTGGGGGAACGTAACAGGAATGTGACATGTGTTGGTGTTGCATCGAAATATTGGAGCATAGTATAGCCATAGTGTGTTGGTTGTATCCTCGACGGTTTGAGCCCGTCCAATTGCTGCGATGAGCGAAAGAACACGTTTCATTTTCAGGAGACTGTTCACATTTCTGTACAGAAAGTTGTTGCTAGCACACAACCTTTCAGATAGGCGTTGTTGATGTACTTACTTGTCCTCACGGACAAGTGCAGTACAGTGATTACGCTGCACCGCATAGTTGCTCCTATTGTCAGGACTGCGAACTGCTCTGTACACACGCCATGCTGCGTCTCTCACCGCCATGCCTTTTCTTGTTCTGTTCCGAATAAATGTTGGAGCTTTTACAGAACCCATGGGTCTGATTTCCGATGCGGATATCATCAGGTCACTGAACTTGTCAGCGAACTTCATCCAGGCAGTATTAACGGAACAGTCATCAAAAGACTCCCAACTGGTTTCTCCAATGAGATCTGTTAGAATAGCGTAGTTAGTGCTTTTCCGAAACAAGTCAGTTTGTTCTGCTAAATGTTCTGTATGACACACATATTAGTAAAGTACGGTTACTAGAACACTGAGCCCCAGAGGTCTCTCCATCTTCGGCTGCTTGATCGTGAGCTCTCCGTTCGCGAGCACCAAATTGAAAAGAGCTGGTGTACCTCCCCTTCTGAATGTGGCGGGCGAATTGACATGGTTGAAGAGAGGAATGCTTGCAATAAACTCTTTCAGGTCGGCCTGAGTTGTTCTCTAGGGAACGCCGGAACTACCAGATCATGAAGGTTGAAGTCATCTGAGATAAGAACATTGCTGTATCGTCGTCTCAAGAACCTTCCCAAGGCTAACGTCAGGCAGGAGTCCATCTCAAGAGGGGACAATGCGGGACGATAAATAACTGCCTCAAGTCAAGTGTCGTTTCATCTCAGTTGCAAGCTTCACCAGAGTACGTCTATGATCAGGGTTTCCGGATAGTCCATCGGTAGGCAGTGCAGGTCTTTGCGGTAGTACAAAAGTGCCCTACCTGCGTTGCCAGGGAGCTCGTTTCGTAGAATTACC